ATCCCAGGAGCCTACCCAGTTTAGACTCTTTGCCAGAGCTTAAGGGATCCCATCACACTGATCACACTGAACCTGGCCATGCACTGATTATTGCTGACCCCTCAGATTCAGAGGCGCCTCAGGGAGTATGCATACTGCGCACAGCAGCAGGCCTTCAATCCAAAGCCAGGCTCAGGTTGCTACTTTCTTCCGGCCCTACTCCGTGAACATGGAAGCAGCTTCGCAACGACAGGACCCTGAGCCCGGCTCCAATCTTCAGCCTCAGGTCGCCAATCAGACTTCCCAGGGACTTTGTGACTGAAGTGGGGGGGTTGCAGAATCAGGGGCCCCTTTCTGGAGCCCATCATACAGATTTGATAGCTTGTTGGGGGTCTAGCTTAGGTCCCATAAAAGGTACCAAAGAGTACTTGTGGCAGAGACCTAAAATACAGATGCTTTTAATGCTTATGGAGACAGGAAGGTGGTTGCACGGTCTTCCCCAAACAGCAACTGATTTTAAATGGTCTGTGGCCATTACCAAGGCACGCATGCCAAACTTTGTCCTTCCGAATATTGTCCACGCCTTGAACCATCCCTTCTTGGCAATTACTATTATGATCCTACTTACTGCTCTTACTGTTATTGCGAGCAACATCCCGGTTGGACCTAAACCACTTGCCCACTGAGGACGTTCGATCAAACACCAGTTGAAACCAGCAGCAGTACAGACGCTCTTCTGGGTGCCCAGGTTCGCATTGAGCAGAAAATCGGTTGAAAACCTCACAGGAGTAATCAGGCCGCTGCTGCAGAAATGTCCATCCACACCAAAAAGAAACCGTTCTCGGAAAACTCTGACTGCTTTCCACCTGGAACACGGGGTTGATATTGTGAATAGCTTGCTTTATACTGTTGCTTTTGGGCAGAAGTATTGATCAATGAGGGGGGGGGGGGGGCTACTGCTTGACTGCATCAACTGAGGCTGTAGCTGACAGGGATCTGTCGGAGGTGCAGAAAGCGCTTGCTGTACTGGAATATTGTTGAGTTGAGACGTGGCTTGGAACTGGCAATAACGTAGCTGCGATGTCTTCATGCTAGATGCGGTTGATATGCAGATTCAAATCTATCATGCCGCATTGCTATGAAACTTTGAAACTTGAGCATCGGGAAGGAATCGGACAGTGTCAGTCAGCACTGCTACTAAAATGGAGACTGGTGTTATATGGGGCTATATAGGGATCCAAATAAACAAATATTGTGAACTTCCCCGCATGGCCTCAACCAGAACTTCATGCCGTGCTTGGGTATGTGGGAATGCTACATGGAACGATGTCTGGATGGCTCGTCTACATAGTCTACATAAATCGGGGATATTCGTGGCGTGTGTACGTACTCAAAACTGTTGGTGTCTGAATTACGACTGACTCTAGATAGGATGCAGTATTTACGAGCATGTCTTAACCGCAACCGCCATACGCACAATGATCCTGAATAGCTACCATTTCCTTCGAGCCTTGATAATTTCACACCAGATTCAGATTAAAAAGTCAACTTCACAAGGCTCGCGTTATTTTGATATTCCAGTTCTGACATGTCCAATGCTCCTGCCAGCCTCAAGAATCCTTGTATTGAGTTCCCAATATTCTGAAGAAATATGGGAAGGCTCTGATCTAAGTGTTGCTCCTATGCCTCTATGTTCCCAACGCTCCAAGTGATCTCAATGAATTACTCACACTCCCAATCCTGCAAATAATCCCGATATATTCCCAATCCAAAGATGCGCAGCGGTTCCCACATTCCAACTTTCTCTTCTAAATCTTTCCCAGTATTCCTACAGTCCTCACGTTCCCAATCCTTCCTATATGCCCAATGCTATATTAACAATTTCCCACGAAAACACCTCCACCCGAGAAAAAAAAACGCAGGCCTCAAGATAGAATGATTGGAGGAAAGGCAGTAAGGTAAAGAAACGACTTGACAATTCCCTATTAATACCATGCACATTGAGTTTTAAGGACCAGCAAGCACAAACACGGCATCTTAGAAATGCCGGGGATGTGGTGAGCTTAGCAATACGAGGGATGAAGCATGTTACGTATGCTTGGGGATTCGTTTCTTTGAACATCGTGTAGGAAAGTAATGGGAAATGGCAAAATTTGTGACAGAATCTCCAACATTGAACCTAGAAAGCCTTTTTTGGATTGCTATACTTTCCAGGGCAGCTATCTTTGCGCCAAGGGGCGCTGCAAGACCATCCGGAATTTCCATAGGAAACCGATACTAGGATGCAGCTGAATTACCAGCTCGTTAATACTTTCATCAAAGGCATCTTGTTTTTGCAGGAGCCTTGTCTGAAGTTGGTGTTTGTGGTTTAACTGCTGTCTAAACTGCCAGGGAGGTGGTATACAATCTGCAAGTAGCGGCTCAACGGCATGCCTTCC